CCAGGGTGTTGGCGTAGAGGATGTTGAGGCCGCTGCCTCCGTCCATCAACACCTTGGAGAGTCGGGTGTTGCCGATGATCGGGTCGACAACTAGTGGGTACTGCCCGGGATTCGGAACATGGTCAGGGTGGTCATCCCGATCGAAGGTGATCGCCTCTCGAGACCAGTCAAGGTACTGGGGGTGGCTACCTTGACCGAGAAGACTTCTCGGCGTTTCCTCTTATTGCTGCCAGCCGTAAGGCATGCCGAGGGCCCGCCAAGATCATGAAGGTGTTGCGTGCTTGGGGAACCTGTCGTCCTTGTCCTCGTCCCCGCCGCCGACGCCTTACGCTTGGCGTCGCTGCCGGGGAGCCCGAGCTTTGCGTAGTAACATCACAAACATGGAGCAATCCTCGAGGCGTGCTTGACCGGCCTTGGTGATAAGGGCATGGTTTCTTGAGCATGTCGTCGAAAGGCCTAGGGCCTTTGGGGCCTTGGGGATTCTTGCGTTCTCTGGCCCCGACCAGATCAACCCCATGACCTCCTGCTTCCCTAGGCGCCCTTTTCCTTTCTCTTAGGGAGGTGGGAGGCCGAGGCGTTGGGGCCTCGTCCCTCCGCTTTTCCCTTGGCGTCATTTTGCCGGGAAGATGGCACCGACGGCCTCCTCGCCCGAGGCGGTTGGTGGTGATGTCGAGGCGCGCAGCGGTGCGTGGTGGCACGTTCCGACCTAGCTCCCGCACTCCCCAGTGGTCTTTGGCGACTCGCACACCGCTTGGAGAAGCGCCGATGAAATCTCGAAGAGACTCGCCTTAGTTTCTGGCGGCAATTCTTAAGGTCCCAGGAGTTTCCGGACGACGTGATGTGCCCTGAAAATTCCCAACGAAGACCCTAACCAAGTCGCGCCCGATCGTGGATCTGTGAGGGAGGGAGGTGCTCGAGCCAGCTCTCGCGCCGAGTCCGACAAAGAGCAGGGAGGTTACGGATGATGAGCGAGTCATCATCCGCGCCACCTAGTTGGCGAGCCAGTGAGTGAGTCGGCAAGCCGAGTTTAGGGTTGGTCTCACCATTGATTTCGCGAGGTTGGTGGTTGCCGAAAATGGGCCGAGGCGGGCGACACGGATAGCTCTGGCGAAGACTCGAGGCCGTGGCTTAGGAGAAGGGCTGCGGTCTTCCTCGCCGTCGAAGCGGCTACCTCGGTGCACATGGTAGCCTCGGCGGGCCCCTCACCGTCGTGGCATCGTCGTCGTCCGGCCGACCACCTCGTGGCCTCCCCCCTCCTCGTGTCGATTGTCGAGGCGGTCAAGGAGCACGGGACCACAGCTATCGGTGCTCGAGCAGGTTCGGGACGAGCCGAGGCTTCCCCTCCCCGCCGAGGTGGTGCCGTGGGGCGTTCGAGACGCCCGTGTCGTCGGGAGGCGAACTCTCGGCTTGGTCAACCGCTGGCGGTCTCTAGGAGATCTCGGAGCTCGCCATGAACCCGCCGCCCCTCCGTGGTAGAAGGCTCGGGCATTGCGCGAACCAGCATCGCCGCAGCCGCGATGTTCTGGCTAGCGCGATTGAAGATCAGGGGTTGCTCACTCTCTTCGTCGTTATGGATGCGGTGATGCACGTCGAGGGCCCTCCGTCGGGCTCCCCCACCTTCGCCGCGACCTCGCTGTTCCTGTTCAAGAGAGTCTCGAAGCTGCTGCAGAAGGAGTTGGTCTTGCTCGACCTTGGCCTGGAGCTCACGGAGCTATTCTAGGTCTGGGCGCTGAGGTCGCGTAAGAGCGACGTTCTCATTTCGTGCGGTCGACAGGACGGCGCGTGGAGGTGTAGCGACACCCGCGCCGGGGCGGAGCGGGGAACGGCTACCTGCCTCCTCGTCCTCTTCGCCCGCCCTCGGCATCCCGAGCCCGTCATGAAAACATTCGCGAGTGGGGTCGTAGGTGCCTTCGTCGTCGGAGTCGGAGTAGCCGAAGCAGTAGTCGCTCGCGGCCAAGAATTGGCGCAAAGCCCCAGGGTTGTGGAGTTCGGAGAAATCCACCCCGGGCCATGCCTTGTCCTCGTCCGAGGAGTCGGAGGGGTGCTCAGCCGAGAGCGGCGCCGGGCGGCGTTCCGAGGGGTGCTCGTGGAGCGGCAGTAAGCGTGAGGCATAAGAGGTGGCGGCATTTCTCAACCCAAAGGGGTATGGGGGGACGGTGCTGCTCTCGATTCTCCATTCACCGGGCGGCTCTTCGTGGAGTGGTTGAGCGGAGCTGGACGACTGGCATCGCCCGTGCCATAGGCAAGTCTCCTTTATCCAAGCTCAGCAGCTAAACGGTCCCTCACCCGGGGACCCCAGCCTAACAAATGGTCGTAGGATATCGGCGGGGGTGGCGTGTCGCCCCGGATTCAGCGTAAGCGTCGGGGTGGTTTGTTCGTGCTGCGTGCTTGGCGAAGCGCGGCGAGAGCGGCCGCCGGACACCGCCTGCGCTGGCCGCTGGGCGGCGGCGTAACTTCATCGTTGGTTGGTGGGGCTCGAGGAGTGAGGAGCACCATGTCGTTACTCATGCCCTAGAGACATGAACTCTAGGCTCCCGAACCAAACCACGGTGCGAGACGCAATGGTCGACGGGGTGGTCCGCCATCCGAACTCTTTGGATGACGAAACCGACACGCAGCTGCCCCTACCGGGCGCAACTAATCGGTGTGTTTTGACCGGGGGTCCTCAACCAACCAATGAATTTGTTCTGCGTGCTCCCGATCCGGATGGTGATGCAAAGAGACACAAGGTTTATACTGGTTCGAGCAATCGAGGCCCCACGTCCGGTCCCGAGAGATCGATCTTGTATTCCTTGCACCGAGGTGCTCGTAGTAGTAGGGTTACAAGCTAAAGGAGAGAAGGAGCTGGTCCTAGGTCTCGGCAGGTGCCGTGTGGGGCGCGCTTGAGACGTTGCTCTCAAAGCGGCAGGAGTGTGCGTGTGTGTGTTACAAGGTGTCCCCCCTTAAAACAACCTGTGTCCTCTCCTTTTATAGCATGAAGGAGGACTAGGGCGGTACATGAGCTAACTATACGGGCGTCGTGTGAACAGAGGCGGCGTGTCCGGCCCTCATAGCTTTGCTCTCGTATGGCGTCGGGCCGCGTCGGAGTGGTCCGCCCTTGGAGCACTGGGGCGACGTGGCCATCCTATCGATCTCTGTGCGCCGTGGGAGCCACAGGACCGCCTCGAGTGGGCGCGGCGGTGGGCGTGCAATCCACTGTGGACGGATCAAGCATGAGGCCGAGACTTGGTGTCGAGGCTGCACCATGGTGGAGGGGTCTCGGCGAGCACGATCCCCAAGATGGGCGAGACCTTGGTGTACGGTGCCGAGGCCTCGAGTGGGCGGCTGATCGTGGGTACAATGTTAGGACACAGTGGCCGGTAATTCCCGCCGTACCCTGTCCCAGCCGGTATGGCGCAGATCGTGGATATAGCGTGAGGACACAGTGGTCGGTAATCCCTGCCGTACCCTGTCCCAGCCGGTATGGCGCAGATCGTGGATACAACGTTAGGACACAAGGGCGGTAATCCCCACCGTATTCTGTCCCAAATGCCGGTATGGATACCGATCACGACCTTGGGTCGCGTCGGCCATTCTGTGGCGTTGAGCCGTCGTCCGGCTGAGATTGCGGGAGTGGTTGAAGCATTAATGGGACATGACACGTTGTCTGGAGGGTCGGTCGAGGCGGGGGGTGACGGGCTGCGGGCGACCCGGCCTCGAGCGACACGGAGGCTGGAGCCTCGCGCGATACGGAGAATGTACCCCTGCCGAGGCCTTCCCTGGAGAGCCTCGGGCGAGACGGAGATGGCTTCCCCTGCCGAGGCTCGGCGCCCCCTGCCGAGGCCTACCCTGGGGAGCCTCTCGCGAGGCGGAGTTTGTTCCGAGACCTTCTGCTCGAGGCTCGAGGCGAGGTGGAGGAGGGCTCGGTCGTGGCAGGTGAGGGGCCCACGGCTTACCCTCTTGCTTTATTTTGATGTTTGCTTGGGGTACCCCGTTCTAAGATACCCGACAGTGTGTGTGGCACTTTGCTATACCGCGTTGTTGTTCTGCTGCATATGGTTGCAGTAGTCGGGCTATCATCAGTGCGTGTTGTCGTTCTGCAATATAATCGTGTTGCATCGTCAGTGGTTGCAGGTGAACAATGTGTAGCAATAGTAGTTGCTATAAGTGACTTGCTTAGTGTAGCAGCACCTGGTGGTTGTGGTGAACTAAATTTCATTTGTGTTAACTATATGTGCTACTGAACGTCATGTTTAACTTTGTCGCACAATGAACCAAGTTCAATAACATGTATACGAACGATGTGGTATTGTACTACGTGTCAACCATTTTCCCAATGTGACATCCTGTGCTTTATTTGTGATAACGAACGATGTATAAGCTGCGTACCACTTTGTTGGGCGTCAGACTGGAACAGATCCTGACATGAGATGTAGATGGGCTGTGGCCCCTCTGGCCACCCATAACAGTTGTCAGTTAATGGTAAATATGAAGCCAAATCTTCTTCATGATGAAATGTTTTGAGTATGAAAAACTGAGATCACCCTATTAAAGTGGAAACCAGTAGAAACTGGCGAGGCAAGTGTCCCTTGCACGAGTTCTGAGTTCTGACAATATGAAATGTCTCTCAAAGTATTACTCATACATCATATATCATATATTACAGTAAAATGAAACTCTGAGCCTTGCGCATTATTCTCGTTCTGAATGATAGTACAAGTTGACAACTATTTTGACTCTTCACGAAAATTCTACACCGACCTGCTACAGGATCCACAGCACATTGACAAGCTCTACAACAAGTGCAAACTGCTAGAGCAAAGAGTTGATTACAAACCAGCAATGACATTAAAATTTTCTGATCTCACTTTCAAAAAAAAAAAAAAAAAGTTCCGATCCCCAGAATCTTCTGCCGAAGGCATTTGGGTGCTCCAAGACAGCACCAGAAAAACAACAACGTCTTTGCTGATCGCATGTCTTGGGAGGCACAAGGAAACATTAGATCATTGCTGCTAGTGTTTCTACTGGTTGCTAACCAAAATGTTATCCAGTTGGTGGGAGTAAGATACATTGCCTGTACATAGCTTATCGACAAGTATGGTGCAAGCAAATCTGCCTAGTTCAAATCCAACCTTGAACATTATATTCAGGACCAGCAACGCATCGTCCAATCGCTCAGAGGTGCTTAATGATTCCACCAAACAATCAAATGTCTGTTTTCGAGGTTTTATGTTGTCCTTCAACATACCTGCCAACCATGCCATGCCCTCATCAAATCGATTGATCTTACAAAAGCCATTAATGATGCAATCATTGCTCCACACCAATGGCTCCAAGCCCTTAGCCCGCATCAAGTTGATCAGGTCTACAGCAGCATGCACCTGTCCGTTCTCACACATGGCACCTATCAGAGGACTGAAAGTTGACACCGTTGGCTCCAAACCAGATGATAGCAACCACTCATACATCTGTATCGCCGAGTCCAACTTCCCAACCTTGCATAAGCCCCGGATCAATGTGTCATAAGTGATCACATCATGCTTAATTCCCTTAACTGACATTTCCTCAAACACCTCGAGTGCGTCATACACCCTTCCATGAACACAGAATCCTTTGATGAGAATGTTACAGCTAACAGTAGTCTGCTTGAACCCCTTCGCAAGCATTTCATCATATACCTTGCGGGCCTTCTCAAGATCACCAACTCTGCAATAGTAAGTGACTAGGGAGCAGTAAGCATACTCATTGGGCTTGATGCCCCTGTCCACCATCTCATCCCACATCTGCTGTGCATCTCCAATGAGCCGCATTTCGCATAATCCATGGATCACCGTGCAATATGTAATTCCGTCAATTTGATAGCCCCGCTGCTTGATCTCTCTGAACACACGCAGAGCCTCTCCACCCATTCTCCGCCTGAAGAGCCCGTGTATGACCCGCTGGTAGATCACCTTGTCCGGGGTGCACCCGGTGGAAATCATGAGGTGCAGCGTGTCGGAGACCTTGCCGAAGTTGCCGTCGGCTGCGAAGGCACCGATGAGGTCAGCAGCGGCCTTGGCCGACGGAGGGGACCCACGGCGCGCGGCGTCGCGGAGGAGGCCGAGGCCGTCGAGGGGGCGGCCCTCGGCGGCGTAGGCCCGTGTGAGGAGGCCGACGGTAGTGGCATTGCCGGGGAATTCTGGCGAGGAGGAGAAGGCGGAGAAGAGGCGGAAGACGAGGTCCGGGCGGCCGGCGCCGAGTGCGGAACGGGACGCGACATTGAAGGCGTGGAGGGAAAGGTGGATGCCGAGGTGGGAGGTGAGGAGCTCGGCAACGTCTGCGGCGAGGTGCGGTGGGAGGCGGAGGAGGAACTTGCCGACCCCGGGCAGCGGAGGGTAGACGTTCGCCGGGGCGGTGTCAGGGGCAGGGGCGGGGGCGGGGAGGTGTGGAGACAGAGAGCGTAGGAAGCGTAGCGATGGAGCCACGGCCGGAAGAAGGCGGGAGAGCGTGAGGCGAGCAAAGTCTGGGTGGAGGAGGACGGCGCGAGGGACCAAGGAGAGGAGACAGGATTGGAACCGCGGGCGCGGCGTGCGGAGGGCGGCGGCCGCGGCGAGGTCAGCCGCGTTGGAGATCGTGGATGGAGTCAGAGCGCTGGCGGGATCAGATGCGGTGGCGGAGCAGAGGCGCCTGGCGAAAAGGAGCCGAGGCGGGGGCATGGCGGTGCCGGCGGCGGCGGCGGCGACACAAGAGGCGGGTCAGTGAGAAATTCTCAGTGAGCAGCGGTGCGCGCACAGATTTGGTTGTGGCCTCGTGGGCCGTATGCAAAATGGCCCATCTTAGTTAATAGAGCCTTTTGCGAGGACGACTTGCGTCACAAAACACCCGAGCCAAACCCCGGAAAACCCTAGCAAGACCGGTTGTACCTCTCAGGCGCGGCGCCGTGCGGCATCCCCGACGAACGATGGTCGGATATCGCAGCCGGAGTCCGAGCCGGAGCTACAGCCCGCGGCGGCGGTGCAGCCGGAGCCCTCCTAGGCGCAAGCGCTACGACGACCCCCGCGACCGCTACCGCTGGGCCGGGGCCGGCGGAGGCGGGGACCGACGTGGTTACGGTCGGCCGTCGGCGCAGTCCGGTCTCCTCATCCGCAACATCTCCCTCACAGCCAGGTGAATTATCGTTGTATACCCCATATATGTGCCTGTAGTTCTGGCTCGTATGACCTACGGTTGGCGGACGTGGCGCCATCTGGTTTGGTCAATGTCTGAAGCCGGTTAATTCTGTGAAATTTTCTGGCTGCTACATGCATATTCATCTTGTCGACTCGATTGTATTATCAATCCTAGTTTTAGGATTAATTAATTATTGACTTTGCCCATCGGCCTCTAATGTGTTATTTGATGGTTGTTAAAGGCTATGCACGAAACAAAAGCAAATATAGCAGTTTGTTTTCAACATTTGATATTTGCAAGTGTAGCTGTGTTTCAATTTTTCTCATGGTGATGAATTGTTTGGTGGTTTGCATGCTAACAAATGTTTGAATATAAAATGCGCCGCAATGGGCTGTTTAACGATTGATGTTTACTGGAAGATGTGTGCATGAATAACTGATGGAACTGTTTATCATAATTTCCTAGGAAAAAGATAAGTCCATCTGTCGTCGCAAACTCATTGGGTTTTGGAAGCCATTCACTAAATGGGCTGATGGTGTGCATCCTTAGTCTTCTCAAAGCAGCTTTGTATATCAATGTCATATCCTTTATAGACTGGATCAATCACGTTTAAGCCATTGTCTAGTCTTTGACAAGCCTAGAGTCAGTTTGGGTTTCTATTCAATGTCTTGGTTGGAGAGTTTGCCAATCACTTTAGATGAAAATATATGAATTGTTTGTCTAGGAAGTTGTGGTCATGGTTATTTGTACTCAAGGAGCACTGGCTCTTTCACATCACATAATCCAATCCAATCCTCTCATGTCAGATAAAATTTTGGGTGTTTGTGCGTCTTACAGCTTGATGAACTTTTTTTAACCTCGCAAATGGTTCCATCCTTTTGCAACTGCCAATAAAATGTTATAGTAAGACATAAGCTGCTGCAAAGTAATCAGTATGATATACCTATGTTCTGTACTATTGTGAATTTGTGATGCAGTCTGCCTTTTGCGCCCTTGCATGGCTTTACAATGTCGTTAACTGATTTTGTTCTGTTATTGGATTTTCATCTGCTGCAGGCTAGAAGATATTCGTGTTCCATTTGAGCAATTCGGCCCTATAAAGGACGTTTACCTACCGAGGAATTTCCACACCAGGTAATAATTGCTTTTTAAAGTTTCTTTGCCTTTCTTATGTCAAACTTGAGTTCAACCTCATGCCAGCCTGTTCATTAAGGGCTTAAGGCATATACTCCCTCCAGTCAAAAGTAAGTGGCCTTTGGATTATGTGCAAATCAACAATTTCAACTTCGATTTGATATTACTTTATGAATTGATTTATATTTCTTGGGTTTGACAACAACAACAACAACAACAACAAAGCCTTTAAGTCCCAAACAAGTTGGGGTAGGCTAGAGTTGAAACCCAGCAGAAACAATCAAGGTTCAGGCACGTGAATAGCTGTCTTCCAAGCACTCCTATCTAAGGCTAAGTCTTTAGGTGTATTCCATCATTTCAAGTCTTCTTTTATTGCCTCTACTCAAGTCAACTTCGGTCTTCCTCTGCCTCTCTTCACGTTACTATCCTGGCTTAGGATTCCACTACGCACCGGTGCCTCTAGAGGTCTCCGTTGGACATGTCCAAACCATCTCAACCGGTGTTGGACAAGCTTTTCTTCAATTGGTGCTACCTCTAATCTATCACGTATATCATCGTTCCGAACTCGATCCCTTCTTGTATGACCGCAAATCCAACACAACATACGCATTTCCGCGACACTTATCTGTTGAACATGTCGTCTTTTCGTAGGCCAACATTCTGCACCATACAACATAGCAGGTCTAATCGCCATCCTATAAAACTTGCCTTTTAGCTTCTGTGGTACCCTTTTGTCACATAGGACACTAGATGCTTGCCGCCACTTCATCCACCCTGCTTTGATTTTATGGCTAACATCTTCATCAATATCCCCGTCTCTCTGTAGCATTGAGCCTAAATATCGAAATGTATCTTTCCTAGTTACTACTTGACCTTCCAAACTAATATCTTCCTCCTCCCGAGTAGTAGTGTCGAAGTCACATCTCATATACTCAGTTTTAGTTCTACTGAGTCTAAAAAACCTTTGGACTCCAAAGTCTCCCGCCATAACTCCAGTTTCTGATTCACTCCTGTCCGGCTTTCATCAACTAGCACTACATCGTCCGCGAAAAGCAAACACCAAGGGATGTCCCCTTGTATGTTTCTTGTGACCTCATCCATCACTAAGGCAAACAAATAAGGGCTCAAAGCTTGACCCTTGATGTAGTTCTATCCTAATCGGGAAGTCATCCGTGTCTCCATCACTTGTTCGAACTCTAGTCACAACATTGTTGTACATGTCCTTAATGAGCCCGACGTACTTCGTTGGGACTTTATGTTTGTCCAAAGCCCACCACATAACATTCCTTGGTATTTTATCATAAGCTTTTTCCAAGTCAATAAAAACCATGTGTAGGTCCTTCTTCTTCTCCCTATACCGCTCCATAACTTGTCTTATTAAGAAAATGGCTTCCATGGTTGACCTTCTGGGCATGAAACCAAATTGGTTCATAGAGACCCGCGTTATTGCTCTCAAGCGATGTTCGATAACTCTCTCCCATAGCTTCATAGTATGGCTCATCAACTTAATTTCCGATAATTAGTACAACTTTGAATATCCCCTTTATTCTTGTAGATCGGTACCAATATACTTCTCCTCCACTCATCAGGCATCTTGTTCGATCGAAAAATATGGTTGAACAGTTTGGTTAGCTATACTATAGCTATGTCCCCGAGGCATCTCCACACCTCGATTGAAATACCATCCGGTTCCATCGTCTTACCTCCTTTCATCCTTTTTAACGCCTCTATGACCTCAGATTCTTGGATTCTCCGCACAAAGCGCCTATTGGTGTCATCAAAAGAGTCATCCAACTGAAAGGTTGTGTCTATATTCTCACCATTGAACAATTATTCAAAATACTCTTGCCATCGATGTCGGATCTCATCCTCCTTCATCAAGAGATGCTCCCTTTCATCCTTAATGCACTTAACTTGGTTGAAGTCCCTTGTCTTTCTCTCATGAACCCTAGCCATCCTATAAATGTCCTTCTCTCCTTCCTTCGTACTTAAATGTTGGTAAAGATCCTCGTACGCTCTACCCTTTGCCACACTTACAGCCCGCTTTAAAAATTATATGGGTAGATTTGTCTTGAAAAGTAGTTCCATAACAGTGTACTTGTTATAATTTACAAGCATTGAAATGTGTTTTGGGAATTATGATGTTGTCCAAAACGACACTTATTTGTGACCGCTGACCGGAGGGAGTATGTGCATAGCAGGCAAAGTTTTTTCAACAATGAAAAAGTATTTAGATGAATTAACTTGCACACCAATAATTAAGAGACTGATACACTGTTGTTTGAGTGGTCATCTCCGGTGTTCATTCCAAGACATTATATTAGTTTGACCCATTTGGACGTATGTGATAATGTAATAGAAATGTCAAATGGACTGAAATTCTCTCATTAAAAAATTCTGGTTCTTTTGGCAATGAAAGAAAATCCTGTTTAATATCATGGCAAGTTTTTGTTGTATATGTTCCCTGTTTTTGATAAATAGTTCTTAAGTGTATTTACTGTTTCTTTATTAAATAGGGATTGGAATGAACAGCCAACTGTTGGAACAACAGAGGATATTTGTCGAATGACAATGTCTTTTTTCCTTCTTAATCCTTGGTTGAATTTGTCAATTTTACAGGGAACTTCGTGGTTTTGGATTTGTCAAATTCCGCTACCCTGAGGATGCTGCAGTTGCCAAGCAAGAGATGAATCATCAAGTCATCGGTGGTCGAGAAATTTCAATAGTTTATGCTGAGGAGAATCGAAAAACGCCACAAGAAATGCGCATGAGAACAAGGACAAGGTTCATTATTTGTTCCTTCCTTTGCTATGTGCTCTCGGTTGTCCTTAGCAACACCATAGTAAACTTATAACTTGAAGTAATGAAAAGAAATAAATCCGTGCTTTTGTTGATGTAGTGGTAGGTACATGGAGGGAAGATACACAAGACCATCACTATCAAGATCTCCAAGGTCTCATTCCCACTGTAAGTGAAGCGATTTATAAAAATTAAATGTTTTAGTCTTTTGTTTCATTGTAAAATAGTAAACACAATCACTTTCTTGGCAACAGCTTATTCGCCTTCGCCTTCTCCAGTTAGGCGTGACTTCAGGTTTGAACTCAATTTATTTCAAATCGACTGGTATCTTGAATTGTTGATTGTTCTTCAATCCTATAGGTCCTTTGAAAGCCTCTGCTATTTTGGCTTTTTAGGAGCAAGTTGCATTTCTTTCCCAGTTTGTATGGATACACATTTTATCATGATCTAACCATTAGGATGTGCCAAAGTGGTTACATTGTTCCAAGTATTCTGTTTTAATTTGTTACGAACAATATTTTCATAACATGGTAATTTTAGAACACATTGCTGTTATTTAAATTAGCAATCAAAGTTGCATACTGGTGATTGTGTCAATGTTCAAAATATTACATATGTTGGAACCAAGGGTGAATATTATAATATATTCACAGTATATTTATTACTTGTTTGTACCCCTTTTATGATTTAAATATAATGATCCCTCTATCCCTAAATAAATCAACCTCTAGAGTTGTCTTAAATCAAACTTTTGTAAGCTTGACCAGCTTAATAGGAAATAATATCAACATGTAAGACACCAAATAAGTAGACTATAAAAGTATATTATGTGGTATATCTAAAAAATGATACTAATTTTGTGTCATTAATATTGGTATTTTTTCTATAAAATTTGGTTGAACGATGATATACGTGATAGATTAGGGGTAGCACCAATTGAAGAAAAGCTTGTCCAACACCGGTTGAGATGTTTTGGACATGTCCAACGGAGACCTCCAGAGGCACCGGTGCATAGTGGAATCCTAAGCCAGGATAGTAACGTTAAGAGAGGCAGAGGAAGATCGAAGTTGACTTGGGTAGAGGCAATAAAAGGAGACTTGAAAGGATGGAATATACCCAAAGACTTAGCCTTAGATAGGAGTGCTTGGAAAACAGCTATTCACGTGTCTGAACCTTGATTGCTTCTGCTGGGTTCCAACTCTAGCCTACCCCAACTTGTTTGGGACTTAAAGGCTTTGTTGTTGTTGTTCTATAAAATTCGGTCAAATTTACAAAAAAAAAATGACTTAGGACAGCTCTAGAAGTTGGTTTATTTGGGGACAGAAGTACTAGGTAACTAACTGTCAATTGGATTTGTTTGTCCCATTCCTGTCATCAATATAAATGAGGATTAAGCTTCTATTCTCATCAAATAAATTGGTACTTCAGTTCCTCGTTAAGTTTTGTTGAGTCCTCCAAATATATATCATTGTTTGATTACTAAAATCTTAATCTCCTTTCTTGTTGTGTGGTTTTTTTCAATATTATATCCTTAGACGTACTTACAAAGAAGTGACTTTCAAGACTGAGAATGATTGTGTTGCTCGTCCAGATTGGGAATTCCATTATAGCAACTGCTCCCTCCAATCCAAATTATAAGACTTTTTGGCTTTTTTAGACTGTATATCTAAGTTCATATAGCAGAAATTATGTATCTAGAAATGCCAAAACGTCTTATAATTTGGAATGGAGGGAGTAATAAATAGCTCTAATTAACAAGTCAATGACTAAAGGAGCTTTCTTATATCTATAATTGGATGTGCATGCCAGCAATATGGTTTTGTTAGATTTGTTGGTAAATGTTGATATGTGTTCTTTAAATAAGGCTTTGAATTTTGCTCTGAATTGTGTTGCTTTGGTTATGTCTATTATCCAGTCAACAAAGAATATAGAGTGTCTAAAAGATCAAAAGACAACCATGATGTTGAAGAATAAAGGCCAAAGTGAAAGTACCATGACCTCCAGGGTTGGAGCATGTGAAAGGCATTTCTGTTAAAGATAAAGTGGTACTGTCAGCCAGAGTTTAATGATAATCTTGGCTAAGAAACCTGAGGGAAAGAGTATTTTGAAGTTGAGCCAGCACCTTAATGCATTGCACAATTCCATGTTTGGATCAAAGTGGGTAGCTTTTATTGATATGGGGCAGGTAAAAAATGATATCTTGCTTTATATTTCAAGTTGTCTTTGGGATAAGAGTGGTACTTTACTGCTAGGCGCTGTAAATAAGTGTTCAGTTATACAAAATGCAGTTTGTTAATGGTCTACTACTCTACTTTTTTCCTATACTTGCCAGCTATATTGTGTTGCTCCTTGTCTTTTGCATACTCAGGAATTTAAACCAACTTTTTGCAGGGGCAGGGGACGCCGGGATGATTATTCCCCTGAGTACTCACACTCTTCACGCCCTCGGGACAACAGGCGCTACAGGTCAGATAGTCGCTCTCCAAGCCTAGATGACCTCAAACCTCAGGCGACAGCAGTGAATAATGGACATGGTCCAGCAGCTGTATCCAGGTCTATATCCCAGCCCTAAAGGTTTCCCTTTTTATTTGTTGTGTACATTCTATGCAATGATTCCATATTTACGAGATGATGTTTCTCAGTCCCAGATGATATGATGCCATTATGGATGACCTGAATGGAGTTCGGAGGCTGGAGACCGCAGACTATCTTTTCGTCAATCTTCTCTAAGAGATGAGTAGGGTTGTAGTAAACAGATGCTTGTAATTGTATTACAGGTGATGGTTTCGGTTTTGAGGCACGCTGTTGCTTTTGTGATGCTGCTGTAATGCTTTACCAACCGATGATACCATTGTGGAATTTTGCGTGTTTGTTTTTGGCTTAATATTACCTATATATCATCTTTTTGGCAAGCACATGTTAACCCTTGTTAACGTAAAATGTCCTATCATTGAGATCCAGATAATGTCATTGCGGTGTTATGAAGTAATCTTGATGACATCTTTGGCTGAGAAGAATTTGAGTGGACGTATTAACATTTTAGTGTTACTTACGTTACAGTTAGAAAATTTTATTGAAAATGTGTGCTAGGTGAGATGCGCTGGCGGAATTTTATTGAAAATGTTCGATTCTCTTATAAGTCTTTTTCAACTTGTTTTTTTTTCCAGTCAGAACATTATTTTTTTTCTTACAATAAATCAACTGGAACATTGTTTTGACTTTTTTCAGCAAAGTGAACGGGGCCATGTGTCCTTTAATAATTTTACTATATAAATATTAGTATAAACATGTTCGGATGGTGTAATGGAACATACATTGCAACACTGTTGTTATCTCATTGACCCGTGGATCGAAATTTATACGAGGAATGTTTTAATACGTCTTAGAATTAGACTGTATTATTGATGGGCGTATGTTGTTCTAAATTCTACCATTGGGAGCATGAATGTGCACGATTATGAAAACAGAACCTTTCACTCTTAATATTATTATTATATTATTGGTACATAGATATGGATTAACAGAGATACCCCTCTGTCCTTAAATATTTATCGTCACGATTTGCGTGTTAACAATTTTAACTAGATTTATAAAAAATACGTATAATATTTCTATCTCAAAATAAATTTATTAAAAAACTAGATTCAAATATCTATCCAATGGTACTAATTATGTATCATAAATATTAATATTTTTAATATATATTTAGTCAAAGTTGTTTCTCGAGAAGCGAAAACGACAGTCACATTTAGGAACGGAGGAAGTATTCATCAACAAATTTGTAGTGTGGAATATATTAATCCATGTGGAAAAGTTTCATCTCTATAAAACTCTCTACTTTCATGAAACTTTTATCATCTTTTTCTTCGTAAATATGGTGCCATGTTAGCATATTTAGGCCATATTTAGTAGAATTTTCAATAGTTCCACCTTGTTTGAAGGTATTTACCGTGGCTTTGTGAGAGGAGAGAGAAATAACTCCTGTGAACAGTGCATGAACTAAAGCTGGTAAGAGCTCTACCAAAAGGGCAAATGTCCATAAAACTCTATGAAACACCTTAATGCTCATAAAACTCCATAGAGATTGATTTTATCATCTTATTTCTTAGAAGTTAATAATTACTATAGACACGAGAAATATGTCATTTCACCAAATTCATAGAATAATCTTATGATCGGCGTGATTCTACAGACCAAACAACCTGCTACGAAAATGATTAGAGACTTTTCCCTGTGTGCCATTATAAAAGATCGTAATTCCTTGTGTGTTCCTAGAAAAATTCAGCGGTCTTCAGCGCCACTACTCTAACTTTTTTGGGTCCTCCATATTAAATCGGTTGAAACTCTAACGCAAGCGTGAGTAGTGAAAAAAGCGAAAATGACCTTAAGTTCAAATATGTTATTAATTTTTTTGAGCATCTTAACGAAAATGAAAAAACTCAAAATTAGAAAGTTGTAGATCTCGTCGAGATCTATAATTTTCATATAAAATTTATTTTCATTTAATTTCGCAAAAAAATATGATGATTTTCTAAGATATATTAATCATATCAAATCATATTTTTTTTTATGGAATTAAATGAAAATAATTTTTATATGAAAATTATAGATCTCTCATTTAATAACTTTCTAGTTTTGAGTTTTTTCATTTGAAGTCGTTAAGATGCTCAAAAAATTAATAACATATTTCAACTTTCAGACATAATTGACATCATTGACGTGATAATCTTATGATCGGCGTGATTTCTACAGACCAGACAGACCAAAGCCGGAGAGCTGGCAGACCGCTAAATATTTCCAAGCGACACACGGCGCGATTACGATCTTTTATAATTCAAGACATGATTCTCGAATGATTAACGCTGCCGCCCGCTGGTGGTGACAAACGCCCAGGAAAGGGGCCAGTCCGGCAATGGCAGTCTCCTCTCCTGCTACCCCCACACACCCACCCACCCACCCACCACACCCCACCCCCCCCGCCGCTCCGGCCCGCTATGCCCAACGTTTGAGTCGGTCGCCGCGCACGGCCCCATCCTCCGCTCCTCCAGGCTCCAGTCCTCCTTCGCCGGCACGCCTTCTCCTTCCTGGTTCCCATCCCTAACCCTAGCACTAGCAGTCAGTCGAGCGGCGGCGTCAAGGGGCTGTCCAGCGGGCCGGCGGCGAAGAGGTTTCTAGCGAGGCTTGCCACGTGCCGGAGGGACCCACCCACAGCGGTGGCGTCAAACACGTCTCGCCTACTCATCAGGTGGCTAAACAGAGGAGGTTGCTTGTTTTCTCCGTCCGGCTGCGGTTTCCTTTGACTGCATCAACCAGATTTGCCGGCGGTGGCGACAGCGGTCCCCAGGCAAGGGCGTGGGGATCTCCGGCGGGATGGAGGTGCCGTGGCTGGCTGGTGGTGCACGGGTCAGTGACGGCGCTGGTGGTGGTGTCGTTCCTCTGCGGGCAATGGCCCATCTTCGAGGGCACCTTCATCCAGAGCATCAACCACTTCCTCACCTTTCGAGCCTCACACTATCTCCTGTACGTTTTCGCGCCTCCCTTCCCCATGTGGGCCCTTCACTCCTGCTCCTGCTTAGCGAGGGAATTGTTCCCGCAGGCGGTTTGTGCAGTCTGTGTGCGGCACTGGGGCTAGGGATCTCGTCCTCGGCGTTGAGCGATACTGCTGCGATCGACCCAACCCGATATTGCAGGTACATGCCACTCATCAGTATTTGAATTCCTAATGATGGGGTAACATGTCTAAAATTATCATTGTTGGGGATGATTGTTTATGTCGAAAGGCGATGCAGTTGTAATGGAAAGTTAGATTTCCTGTTTTGAGTCTTAGAAGATTGATACCGTTTGATGCTAAATGGCTGTTAGTTGTTGCTTGGGATAGTGGCATTGATCGATGGCTAGGGGATTGATGGCCGGTTCTTGGTTGGTAGCTCCAATGCTCGATTGACTCTGCAAATGAAGAGCTTTTTTAAGGACCAGAATGTGGATGATCAAGTATGTTAGGGCTTAGATTTCTTATTCTGTTGCCCTTACCTATGATTATAGTTATTCTACATTGGGTAAACCTACTGTGTTTGTTTCCAAATAGTAAACATGCAACCAAAAGTTGCTGATTAAAGGAGGGATTTATGTTCTTCAGATTCTATGAAATTGCTAAACACTTTGTGCTTGTGCTAAGTGAAATTATGTACTTGGAAGGAAGGAGGGAAGAAAACTGGGGAGGGGACGAGAGATGGATTTGGAAGGTGAGAAAAGTGAGAAAAGACTGCAACAAAGACCAACTGGGTTCTGGGTGTATGGACCTGTGTCTCTCTGGTGTGACTTGACGCATAATTATATCAATGCTTGGGGATATGTGTTTGAACTCTCTGCATTGAATAGGGCAGAACAGTAGTTTGCCATTGTGAATTAATGATAACGATACACACATGTAATTTACATAACTTCAGATCCTTTTACTGTTATACCCCTGGCTTCAGTGAAGAAGTTTTTTCCTTGGTGATTGTTCTTCTAATTCCCTTGGGACACATGAGCTAGCATAAATTACCTGGCATGTCAAATCATAACCAAATTTACTTAACTATCAACAACTAAGCCGAGGGTTTCTGTTGTTATTTGAATGCATGAGATGCTAGTATCAGCTCCTGCTCCTAACCAGTCGACTGTGACTTATTTTCTTCTCTCAACCGCAGGTATTTTATGTTGCCATAATTGGGGTGGCATATTTTATAATAGTGCAGACATCTTTCAAGTACATTCCTGGGTATTATGTGAGTGGATTGCACAGGTACCTCGTAGCTGCACTAAACAATTTGGATAGATTTCATTGTCCATTTCTAACAGTGATAGATCTAATTGTGCAGATATCTGAGTGTTGTGGCTGTGGCTGTTGGTGCTATACTCTTTGTGCTTACTAGCTTCTCTGACCCTGGGACTGTTACTGCTGACAATGTTTCTCAATATGTATCTTGCTACCCATGACAACGTTATTTTTGTGGAGAAAGAATGTTCAACTTGCAAGATTACTAGGTATATCTAGTTATTCACTACTCCCTCCAGTTCCCTAATGAAAGTGGTTTTGAAGTTGTCCTAAGTCAAACATTTTGAACTTTGAATGCAAATAATTTTTTATGTGTTGAGTTTGGAAATGTGAAATTGGTATGGATAGATTTGTTTCAATATATAGTTTCATAAAAGTATACATCAACTATATTTTACAAATATTTAATAACAAAGAGTAGAAGTCAAAGTTGTATTTTGGAGACCGTGTCAATGTCCAAAACGACTTGCTTTAGGGAACCAGAGGAGTAACTCCTAGCTGCCAGTCGTTGCATGTAGAAGTAGAACCCTAAATTATAAGATGGTATAGTTAGCTGTTTTCTTAGGTACCCAGTAAAATCTTAGGGACTAGTTTGCAATGAGTAATCCAGTATGTGTGCAATAACAAAACTGATTGCTTTAAAGTTCTTTTGATTTTGTTTAACACTCAAGGGCAAATACATTTAGCATAGAGGTTCCCCTCCCTCCGCTACTTCATGCAGTTACATGTGTTTCTTATTTTAGCAACTCATTGGTCATTTGTGTGCAGACCAGCCAGGGCAAAGCACTGTAGAATATGTGACAATTGTGTTGCTCGATTCGATCACCATTGTGGATGGATGGTACTTGTACTTACTAATTGATGGTATTGCTTTTGCTTCATTTATGTTCTGAATTTGTCTGTGTTGATACAGAATAATTGCATTGGGGAGAAAAATACTCGCTATTTTGTGGCCTTTTTAGTTTGGTGAGTTCTGCTTGGGTTTCTTTCCAGCTTACCTTATAATCTTTGTCTGTCCTAGATGGGAAATCTTAAGGCCCATGCACTTCGCTCTGATGATTCTTTTCTGTTTTCTCTGTTTATCATCTGTCTTTCTTTTTTATAGCCTAATATAAAGTCCCAAGAGTCAACATAATCTCCTGAATTGTCATTTTTCTGAGTGGCTAAATTTTAGCCCAACTACAAATACTAATTATAGGGCATAAATCAACTGGTAAACCAAGTATGCATCTTGAAATGATATGTTTATCCTACCGAGCTTCCAGAATCTATAGTGTTTTTCTCTCACAACAAAACAGCTTCAGCCTTAGCCGGCTGAAGCTGTTTTGTTGTGAGAGAAAAACACTGTAGATTCTAGCGATAAGTTCAAGCGAACAGGCCATAGCTTTCTTACAAGAAGATGGATCGTTAGCTCCTTTTTTCTCTTTTTTTTCTTATATATGAAAAGCTTTGCCTTCTAGACTTTGCAGCATAGTTTTCCAATGTGTTGTGCAAAGTGCAGTTGTTTAGATGCAGAATTAACTAACTTATGATCCATTTGCGCTGTAGTTTTATGGATTTGGTTGTAACTTATAGTTCATCTTACCTTTATATTACCAAATCAATATGGAAGATCTGCCCAGCTACTTGGTGGTTCTTTTCTTTTTTCCATAGTGGGTGAGCCCGAATTTTATTACTAAAGCGTAATGAAATTACAAACAACCATCAGTTTTGAATTTTGCCACTGGTACTGTCTAGCAAAAAAACTGCTCAGAAACGACCACAAAAGCACACATGCTCTGTGAAACGATTCCACCACCACAATTCCTTACACTGATCCTACTTGATTATTTTTTCTCTCAAATAATCCTACTTGATTATTCAACTTTGGCAAACACTAGAGCCTTTTTGTTTAAGGCATAATTGTTTCAGTTGCTGTAAGTAGCAACCTAATTAATCATCAAGATTATTCACTGACCTGAAATATTAAGTAAAGTTTTTTTGGGCAAAAATATTAATAAAATTTGTATGTGTACTTTCTCTTCCATTCGATAACAGGCATTTTCTTATATGTCTGTACGGGGCAATAATCCTTGGCTTCATTCTTGCTGGTGAATTAAAAGAGCGGAAAATTATATACATTCTGACAGGTAAATTCAATGCCTTTCCTGAGAACTTACTGACTTGTTCAATGGGAGTAACTTAATATATCTGCAATTTAAACCTAACAATTGACATAGAACAACTGAGTAGTGGGTAGTCTATCTATGTTGAGTTGTACGTCGGAGTTTTGAACTCTCCTGACAGCACCTTATGGGAAATTGTTTACCAATCACCATCATACATAATCTCTGATTTTTATTTCGATTTGACACAGTTTTTTTTTCATCACATAAAACTATGACGTATAACTTATCTTCTTTATTCAACATTTTAACCTCTGTTTTCCCATTTGTAATGTAATGAGACATCTTTTGGATGTGACAGTTTATTATGGTATCGATAACTCATTCTCGGGCTTGTTTCCACATGTTGCACAGGTATGCTAGAGGAACACATTGATACCAAATTCCCTCTACTGCTCTACTAAATCTGTGTTTTAACTCATGGTCAAATTTGCAGTAGTTGCTTGCTGTGCATAACACTCAGATACTTTTGAGCGTATTTTTGGCTATATTGGTGTCGGTGTTTCGAACAAACACCAATTAGTAAATTTATATTTGTTGCGCGTTAGGCTCGGATGGTGTACTAAAGGACACAAGGTTTATACTGGTTCGGGCAGAATGTCCCTACGTCCAGTTTGCTGCTGCTCGTGTTATTAGTACCAAAAAAAGGTTCGTAGTAGGGGGTACAAACGGTCGAGAGAGGGACATGTCCCAAGTCTCTGATGGAAAGGTGGAAATGATGCCAAGAGCTCGGTTGCTGTTCGGCTGTGTGTTGTGTGTGGAATCGATTCGTCCCTTTTGTGGGGCGCCCTGTCCTTCCTTTTATAGACAAGGGGGAGCAGGGATTACAGATGTGAGAAAGAAAAAAAACCAGAGGTAGAGAGGGTCCTTCGAAGGTGTCGGGTCTTCCTTTTCCCTCGAGCCTGCCCTGCTGTCATGGCAGACTATGCCAGAGATAGCACGTTTGCCGATCCTGATAGGGCCGTGCCCTGACCTCGGTTAGCTAGTGGTCGCATCCCATCCTACTCCGGCGGATGATGCGGCGCGTCAGGGTATCGAGCCGTGACCCTACGGGGAGCAGACGGGGAAGTGACCTATACGTTCGTTACTGTTGATGATGTGAGTTCCCTTCTGAACTGTAGTGGTTGTCGTATGCTTGTGTTAGGATCCGCGCCTGAGGGCTGATGGCGGCGCTCACAATACTGTAGGACAAAAGTCGGCGCCTACAACACTATTCGGGCTCTATCATGCCTGGGAGGGCTTAAAGCGCCCGTCCCGTCGTATCCTGACGGTACCTTCCTACAGGCGGGCAGGGCATGGTCCTCGGTACTGCGGTTGACTCGAATGTCCTGTTTCACCCTGTGCTCGTAATTATGAAGGAGCAGGGTGCAGTTGTCGGGCGAGGCGGAGCCAGCCTCGGGACGTCGGGCGAGGCAGAGCCGGCCCTTAGCCATCGCGTGAGATGGAGCCAGCCCTCAGCCGTCGGGCGAGGCGGAGCCAACCCTCGGAGGTCGGGCGAGGCGGAGCCAACCCTCAGACGTCGGGTGAGGTGAAGTCCAGCCCTCGGGGGTCGGGCGAGGCGGAGCCAGCCCTCAGCCGTCGGGCGAGGCGGAGTCCAGCCCTCGGGGGTCGGGCAAGGCGGAGCCGACCCCCCGGGGCTGGGCGAGGCGCAGCCAACCTTCGGTTGTACGGGCAAGAAGTGTAGTTGCGTTCTTGCCTGTTCGGAAGCATCAGCGTTTGATAGTTTTTAGCTCCACCTCATTGGGTACCCCAGTATTAGGTCCCCGACAGTAGCCCCCGACCCCCCGGGTGATTCGGATAGAATAGTCTAGGGGTGATTTGACTTGTCTGAGGGTGCGTGCGAGCGCACCCGATGGGTGCAGCCCCCAAGCCCCCGGGTGATTCGGATAGAATCGCCCGGAGGGTATTTCGATTTGCCTGAGGGTGCGCACGAGCGCACCCGTCGAGTGTAGCCCCCGAGCCCCCGGGGGATTCGGATAGAATCGCCCGGGGGGTATTTCGGACCCTTCGTGGGTATGGCTGTGAGATTTGGTGTTTTTGACAACTGGATAGTTTAAAGGGAACCCCGGTATCCCGTTCGCGGGGATTCGTCCAGGGTCAGCCCGGTTGAGACTCAATTGCGGATCGAGACTCCTTTGAGGCTTGTGCGCCTGAGTTTTGGCCGCTCGCGGGCCCATCCCTCGTTGGGACGGCCGTCGAAACTATTGGGCCAGCCCTTGAACTCCTGGGCCCGGGCGGGCTAGAGAAATGCATCTTGACCCGTATCCCCTCTGCGGGAAAAGAGTCCTAGTCTGCCCGGGAAGGCGAAACGTCCGGCGCGACTTTGGTGGGAAAGGATAGGGATTGCGGGCGCGTATCCCGCGACGTGACGTGGTGGTGTCGTGGCAGGCACGGAGATCAAGGAGGATGGTTGTGCTTCTCGCATCCGTTACCCCTATAAAACCAAGGGGTTCGCCCCTAGGGTTCCGTACTTTGCCTCCTCGCCTTTGCGTCTACAACCTCCGCCGCCAATCACCTGAATCCTCCTGTACCTGCATCGCGGCCGCCGTCAAGCTCGCGTCCAGCCCCCTCCTAATCGTTCAATGGAGCCGTGGTGCAGATCCGACATCACCCTTCAGCACCTGGAGGGCCTCGTTCGTCGTGGCCTCCTTTGCTCGCTGACCACCGTCGAGGGGTGGCGGTTGCCTAGCAATGAGGATGCACCGTCGCCGCTCGAAGGCTACGTGGTGTTCTTCGCTCACTTTCACGAGCGGGGATTCGCCATCCCCGCCCACAAGTTCCTTCGGGGGCTGTTGCATTACTACAAGGTGGAGCTGCAGCACCTCACTCCCAATGGGGTCCAGCACATCGCGGCGTTCGTCGCCCTGTGTGAGGGGTTCTTGGGGATTAGTCCCCACTTCGACCTGCGGCGGTATTTCTTTGCCGTCAACCTCTTGAAGAAGCGGGAGAAGAGGCAAGAGCTGAGCGTGCCGGTGGGATGTGCCGGCATTCATCTCCGCAACAACCGGGTAAACGAATACCCGTCGATGCGTCTGTCGACCTCCAACAAGGGGTGGCATTTGCATTGGTTTTACGTCAAGGACGACGCAGCCGCCCCCTTGCCAGCGTTCTCCGTGCGCATTATCGAAGAGGCCCCGAAGCCGTGGAAGTCGGGCGAGGCGGAGCCAGCCCTCAGACGTCGGGCGAGGTGGAGTCCAGCCCTCGGGGGTCGAGCGAGGCGGAGCCAACCCCTCGGGGCTGGGCGAGGCGTAGCCAACCTTCGACTGTACGGGCAAGAAGTGTAGTTGCGTTCTTGCCTGTTTGGAAGCATCAACGTTTGATAGAGGAAGATTGAAATTGACATGCAGGGAGGCAATAAAAAGAGATTTAAAAGTTTGGGATATACATAGAGATCTATGTTTGAATAGGAGTACGGAAAGCAGCTATTGAAGTGTCTGAACCGTGACCGCTCTTGGTAGGTTTCAACTCTAGTCTACCCCAACTTGGGACTGAGAGGCTATGTTATTGTTGTATTTAATGAAATCTTATCTTTGCTCTGAAATATTTTAATCAGAAGGCTAATTTCTCATACTTGAATCTTTCTGGAGACAAATAAAATAACTTTCTAGATGAATTTTGTTAATTGACGTAAGCAGATTTTGTATTTAATCGAGGTTGTTTCTCATGAGAAGTGCTATGCTAAGTAGACTAGTAAATTTGACTATTAAAAAGGAATAGTTTCAAGCATGTTTCTAGTGCAAAAACAAAAAATGCTTGCGGTGATTCTTACACACAATCTTTTTTAGACATTCAAATGGCAAGACTATATCATGTGGATGAAAAAAGAAAATGAAGCGAAGGCTGCTGCTGCTGCACTCGAGTCCAGCATAGGCTCAGCCAATAGTGATGCACACAAAGCTCCTCCAAGCAAATGGAGGGCGTTCTTCATGAGATCCCGAACACCAACCGTGGAACCAATTGTGGAAAACAACATATATGACAGAGGCATGATTAAAAACTTGTGCGAGGTGGTCGTCCCTTTATCGGAGCGGAAGGCATTTTCACGCAGGAGATCGGATTGAGTCTATTGTTGCAGTTGTATCACCAAACTGTTGTATATCTGTGTAGAATTTGCGAAACATTTTTTTTGTCATACCATAGGGGCATAGAGAAATTTCAGGGTAAATCTTGTTCCGTACTTACGACCCATAGCATCAAAATATAGGTAAAAGTTTTTGAGCTTGCATTTGCTTTTGCCCTTCCTGAGACAATGCATATGTGGATGTTCTGAGGCTTTGGAGCCTTGTGGGTGGATGCGTGCTACAGCCCACAGTTGAGACGAATGTAAGATCTCAAACGCAGCTTTTTCAAAAGCACCTCCTTGAGGGCTTCCCCAACGCAGCAACACGCTGGCATGCTGCCCTGTACGTCAAGTTCCATGTCACCAAAATAGTGCTCTTGCATAGGTAAGTGATCTACTGAGGTACCAGCATCCCTAGGGCAGGCCCAACGCGGGCAGCAGGTATCATATGCCTCGAAGTCCACGTAGATCAAATTAAGTTGCCATCAGTCTCCCAATGCAGTGGTCGATCTGCGCCGCACAGGTATCGCCGCTCAGAGCTCGCTGTTAGCAGTGGAAATAGCGGATTGAACAAAATCAGACTTGGGGCGGCCTGCCGAAGAGTAATGAGAAGATGGTGATCGCAGTGTTCAGTGCAGCTACTGTGTCCATCCTTTGGCTCGGGGGAATCGACTCTCTTTTGGACCAACAACTGGATCGACGGCACGAGCATCCAGGCCATATGGCACCCGCGCTTTTTGGGGCGGTGTCAGGGAGACGGCGGAAGGTGTTGGTCAGTGATGTGCTACCTGGTAATGCTTGGGTGCGCCATATCACAGGTGCGTTCACGGTTCAGGTGCTCACAGAGTTCATGCAAGTATGGCAAAGGCTGCAGCAGGTGCAGCTCGTACCTGGAACACCTGATGTCTTCCGCTGGCGCCTCACGGCGGATGGATGCTACTCAACCGCATCGGCTTATGGAGCAATGTTCCTTGGGTCGTCCAGGCCTCTTGGAGCAAAGGAAATCTAGAAGACCTCGGCACCGCCAAGGGCGTGCGCTTCTTTTTCTGGCCTGTGCTGCATGGAAGATGCTGGACAGCGGAGCGGAGGTTTCGGCATGGTCTTCAAGACTCCAGCACCTGTATTATCTGTGACCAGCTCCGGGAGACAATGGATCATCTCATCATCGGATGCGTTTACAGTAGGGAGGTTTGGAACATTCTGCTGTCCAGACTCCACCTCCAGGATGTTGTGTTGGTACAGGAGGAGAAGGTGCTCGAGTGGTGGTTGCGAAGTAAGAAACTAGTTGATAAGCAAGTGCGGAAGGGCTTTCATTGGCTGTTCTTCCTCGTCGGATGGACACTCTGGAAGGAGAGGAATGCGAGGACATTCAACGGAACCTGCACAGCTCCAGCTTCCTTGGTAGGATACAAACAGCTGCTGTCTTTGCTAGCGTTGGCGCGTTGCTGTAGGGTCGTTGGCCAATCTGTCGCAAAATTGGAATTTGTAAATCACAACCTCGTGGTGCCGCACGGCCGAGTAGCCTCAGTAATCAGTGGATTGCTGCTGCTTCAAAATGTACTTTCATTGTATTTCCTACTCCTGCTTAATGAATACCGTGCTCATGCACGTTCGAGAAAAAAAATCTCTCATCCCTCTGAAAAATGGGACTACGACCTTTCTCATTTGGCCCTGATCATCACTTGACATAGTCTGCATCATCAAGGAATCGACCATACTGTGTCCCATTCAGCACCTGGCTCACCTGCTCCCAGTTGTCGACGAGGTCCGGGAGGGGCCTGGTGTGGATCTTCACGTGCTTGCTGGACAGATTCCTCACTGGAACCCCCAGGAATTCCTGCACCCGGGACAATGCCTGCACAAGGCATCATCAGAAAAAGAGCATATCCCTGTTATTATTGCTATCATTGGGTAACCTTGTTTGGAACTCTAAAGCCATCAGAGGCTGCTGGGAACGTTTGTTTGTTTGTTTGTGTTGTGATGCCTACATTTCTGTCGCGGATCACGTCCTCGTAGTAGAGGACCATGTGGCGGGTGTTGCTGAAGCGACCCAGGCAGGTTCTCATGGCGCGTTGGGCATTTCTGATGCTTGGAATCAGAGTCGATACGTCCAGCTCTGGCTTGAACCTTGCCAGGATCTCAGCCTGCCCAGATAAAAGGCACCGACATGATTTGCCAAGAGGATATATATCATTGCCTGTTTGACTTTGATCCATTCAAAACTGAGTAACTGTCAGACAGCTTTGGTTTAGTCATCATGTCTCTAATTATGCAGTAGCTAGGCCTCTCCATAACTGAATAACTGATTCATAATCTAAATAATTGATTCAGAAAATGTACTGACTTATTGCACACGGAGAGAGATACCTCCTCTTTTGAGTGAACATGTGATTTGTGGATGCCATTCAGCTGCTTTGTTTTCCTGTCGTAGTTGTTCGCCGACACAGAGATAAGCCTCCGTAGTGTGTTTCTCCTAAAGAGGAATATAACCATTGCACCCCTCCTGTTTAAATAGTTAACGATGTCTCGATGGTTTTCCATCAGTCCCTGCAGAACAGGAAGCAAGCCATTTTAGGCCCTGTTTGGAACGTGGGAACTTTTTCCATGTCCCTGCGTTTTTCTTGTAAAACTAAAGTGATTCCTGTGAAATTCCTATTCTTGAGTTCCAAAGTACTTTGCTTGATAAACTCACATCTAGCTTTCAAAAGTCAATAGCATGACTACTAGCTTTTTTTTTGGTTGATAACATGATTACTAACCCTTTTAAGTTACCAAAAAAATCACTCTTTTTTTTAGGTTTGGAGCACAAGAACATAAATATATTGTCAAAGGCTACATGATACGGCCTAGCTATACCACTTGTGGAGCAAGAGCAACCAGACAATATGTACATGAAAAGCGGCTCACTGATAGTAAACATTTACACAGACCCTAGTAAAGGAATGATGCAGCTTAATTACCTGGTTTAGCATCCACTTCAACCCAAATGCTGCTGTGCACTCATTCTTCGCCGCACTAGTGATCCAGTCCATATCATACAATCTGTCAAGAGTTTCAAAAATAGTCGAAATGTTTTCCCTTCTATCCCTCACAGAGAAGATCTCGCCATTCGAGCTGACATTGGGGTGGCTGTTGAGCAAAGTCTCGAACCACCCGCTTCCTGATCTTTGCATAGATATGATAACAAAGAAGCGGACCGGGTTACATGCACATTCACCCCTGTGAACCGGGAAATGAGTGCAGAGAAGCATGAATCAGACAACACATGTCATCATATATATAGAACAAGAACACATGAAGGTTCTGACGAACTGAAGTTACCTGTCGTAAGTGACAGGCCTCGGAAAGTGCACATATCGCATCTGCTCATGTGGAACTGCAGGTCTTCTGCAACGGATTTCTGTCTGTTCAGCTCCGTCTGCGCTGGTCATTTTTTGTTCATATTCCAAAGCTATCTGATGGAAGGAGAAGTAGCAGACATAGAAGCTGAACATAGCAATGAAGAAGACAAGAACAGATCGTAGAGGCAACACAGCTGGGCCCTTTGGACTTTTTAATGGATAAATACTCTGTAAACAAATATGAAGAAAAAGGTAATAATGAGTACGTATTTTTTATGATAAATAAGTGAGATGAAGAAACAAAGTTTTCTAGTACATCGTTACCATTCTCTCTTGTGGTAGCATTTGCTACATCAACTGAGTGCTCAGTGTCCTCGCTGCGTCGCATATGAGCGAGGAACTGATTTTTTTTTTCGCGAGCGGGATTGCACAACTCACCTCAGCTTTTGTGAACTAGTTGTACTGCATTGCATCTACAGAATTTCAAAGTTAAGATTTAACCCCTGTGCAAGAAGGACGCTTTATTAGACCTGGAAAGTGTGGGCCAGGAAGAAAATTGATCCTTTTTTTTGACCCCGATAGAATGGTATTTAGCAGCTCAACTCGAGAAAGATTCGCAACAGTTTCTGGACTACGCGATGCAGAGTAGAGCAATCGTGGTGCAGCAATAGATGTAGCAATGACCGTACAGGATTAATGGCACAGAGGCTTGTGAATGAAGAGCGGGCCCCTTGTTGTGCGGTAACAGAAGTCGTTGCATCAGGATCAGGTACTAGAAAGTGCGGAAACCACGTCGAAACTGTCAACGAAGAAAACGCAGCGAAATGGGTGGCTTCTTTCCCTGATTGCCAGGCCCCCACCCCCACCTAAGATCGTCTGCAGCTAGCATTGCTGGCAAGAACCAACCAACGGTTGCTTCTTGCAAAGTTTTTTCCATCTACACAAGCAAATAGTTAAGGCTGGGGCAACAGGCTGATAGCAACATGAATGAATTTCTATATATCAAAGCAGGAGAGTTTAGCCGATGCTCAGCCCATCCACGTCACCCGAATTGTTTCGAGCCGTCCGATCCTCCATCGTGTGGATCAGATTGCTTGTAGCGGCTTCCGTTCGAATCAGCTTCATGCAGATCCTCGTCGCTTTGCATTGCTTTTGCCAGCTTCTACTGCATCTGCTCCGAATCCGGTCGACCAAATATAAACAGCAGCTTCTGCTTTTCCTTCTGGATTCTTCTGAAAATATCTCGCCTCCTCTTCCTCTCCCGAGCTCGACGCCTCTCCTCTCGGTCGCGGAACGCCGCCTCCGCCCCCGGCTTCCCTTCCTTCCTCTCTCCCTCTCCCTCTCTCTCCCGACGTGGCGCCGTGTGGCAGCGGGCCTCGGCGCCGTCGCTTCACCGCGTGAGGCGCGGGCGGCGCCACGCCGGCCCCGGGTTGTGCTGGAGCTCCGCGTGTCGGCCCCAGCGGCAGCCGGCCCCGCCCACAACGCGGCGCGTGGGTGCCCCGCCGTTGGCCACCAGCCCGGGTGCCCCCGACGCGGCCTCCTTCCACAGCTCCACGTCTGCTCCTCTGCTCCATGAAACCCTAGGTGCCTGTGCTCGACGAGCCCGGCTACGCATCGCGTCTTCCTCTCCGGCAGTGGCGCCGATGGCTCAACTTGGCGGCAGATCGGTGGTGCCTCACCCCTCCACCCCCTCCTCGCCTCTCTCCTGCTCCACAGAAGCCCAGCCACCAGGTATGGATGGCTATGGGCACTTCCCCTACTCTATTTGTGCTCCAGCTACAGCGTTAATTTCCTAGATTTAAAGATTGCTTTATTCGGATTTGTTACCGGGATGGATGAGGGATTAGAGCCAAGTGTTTAGTTTGCTTTCTTTCTTAGCTTCGTTTAGCGGCACATGGATGCCTGTTGTTACCGGTGATGAACTATGCACATTGTTACTGCTGAGACTTCATCGTTCTGTGACTTTGGGAGTTTTACCTTTTAGTGATGTTTCCATATTGTTATCTACCTAGCTAAATGCCTTCACTCAGAGATTTGAATTTCATCTGTATTTTGTTCCATATTTTGCTATGTTCTTCTACCATGTTTTCCTTTTGTAAATGCAAGGTTTAGTAGAAGAGTAAAATACTTTGATGTTGTAGATCATGTGCAGGCGACATACTACATATCTGGAATATCTTCAGGTAAATTATTTGAAAGCATGAAAATCTGATTCTATAGTTTTAAAGACATGACAAATAACAAGGAAAATGGCCTATTCATACTTCTTTTGTTGTTTTTCCTGTTACTGTGACCAAAACATTCACCAGGTGAATAGCCTGTTCAAATAAATTATGAGCATCCTGCATTGCCAACGCACTGGATTGTTGAAGGGCAGCACCAAAGTGCAGAGGCACGAGCCCGCGCTGAGGGGATGCCATGATGTCAAGTTCAGCGGCAGCGACTAAAGGTCGTGTTTTCTATACCAGCTATAAATTTTGGTTTGCTTCATCATGTTATTTAGGAGAACAGGACATATCATTATCTGTAATTGCCTTGGGTAGAAAAGCTTTGTCTAATTATTTGCAAGGATCAGAAGGAGCTGCTCCTTTTATTGGCTAAATTTGTAAAAACAATACCTGTTGCAGACCAGATGTGAACAATATTGGAGATCAGTGTGGTGGATGGATGGTTGCATGCCATGAAAAAAGGTTGAACAACCACTCTTGGTAAGAATAAACTTATCTTTGCAATCTAATTGGTTTTTTACCTCAAAGTTTTATTGTATACTCTGATTCACACAATCTGTTTCTACTATTAGTCGGTTTGATCGATTTACAGGATCCATTTTCACTTTTCAAATATAGAATGTGCACTGCTGATATAGGTTTAGTCTCACATAGCCTGTCTTTTCCTAATTTCCTGATGGTGTCACTAGATTTCTAATACCAGTACTGTTTATAGATGATCTATCCCTACAAAGTACCTCATGTACCGACTTTGTGGAGATTGATTCTAATGTGTTTTGGGGCTCTTATTGTAATGCTAACATTTTAAAAAAAATTGCTGGCCATATACCGATTTAGTCTTGCACGATGTTGCCTCTGCTGCTATATAGGTTGCTTCGTTCTGAGGTTTGCTGCTTCACCTATTTGGCTATTTCAGAACAAGTACATTTCTTGCTGTGCAGACGCTGTGCCTAATGCAAGTAGTAAGCAAGTTTAGTCCTTCCTTTACATTGCTGGGCAATTGACTAACAACGCTAAAAGACCATAGTTTTTCCAAGATGTCTGAACAATGTTCTTGTGTGGCTTGCAATATTATAAAATTTGACACCGCATCATTGCAATGACCATTTCTTTGTACAGGTGTACAAGCTATCCATTGTTGCGGCGTGTGCCCTCACATGGCCACCAGACCGTTTTGTAATACAAGTCTTGGATGATTCCACTGATCCGATTATTAAGGTAGGCCTTGGTTTCAGGGACATAGTTTATCTTGATTGACTAAAAGTAGAAATATTCATATATTTTGGGTCAAATTGTGGTTGATGTGATGTATTTTTAAACGTTAATTGTGACTTTAAATTGCAAAGGAATGATCAGTTTCTCATTATCAAATGGGGCATATGAATGTTGATACTAATTTGCTACGTTAAGTGTACTTGGTAATAGTCGGTGATGCTTGCTAGCCCTGCACTATGATGCCCACCAACTGTTTGTTAGAGTAAGCAAACAAACAACCGGTTCATATCTTTTCCCGACTTATATAAAAAACAGAGATAGAATGATCATATAATTTTGTATTAGCTTAATGATCATATATATGTACATACCATCCTCATGCTACGACCCTGAGTATTTGTCATATCAGTTGCTAAAGATTAGATGAGTGTTCAATCCTGCGCTACATCTTTAGTTGGATAACCGACGCGCGCAAGGGCGCGCGTGATGGACTAGTGAGTAATAAAAGTAGTTTTGCTCTCTCTCTCTTTCACACACAACAAATAAATTAATTAATTAAAAAATGAAAATGGAATAGCTACCATACCAACCAGTATCACAAGTCAGATTCAAGGATTGCTCAGTGAAGTCGAAAATTTGGGTTGGGGAAAAGTTTGAATGAAATCTGTCGAAAGGCAGGCCCTAGATGTATACCTGCATTGCAGGATGCAGCTGGATCAAAGAAGCAGGCTGAGGATTAATGAAGTCGGGCACTCGATCGGTCCATTTCCGTGCAGCTTATTAGGAGATCGAGATTCAAGTGTGGAAAAAGAAAAAGAAAAAACCATGCAAGAGCAAGAACCATGAAGATTGTAGTCCCAAAGAGAAAGAACGAAGGAAAGGTGGAGAGGCAATCCGCAGACCGCAGGAAGGAGATGATGGAGGCACAGCACACACGAACATTCTGAATGAATCTTGTACCACAGCGCCGGCGGCCAAGGCCATGAGCACAGCAAGCAACACCACGTACCTGGTTCGGCCGCGGCAATCGAGGACTGAAGGCTGAAGCACTGCAGTGGTGGATCGAACAGGTCGATCGGATACCGGAGGAGAAGCAACCTCTCGATGTCTGCTTCTGCGTGGGTGGTCGGCGCTCGGAACGGAGGTGGTACAAAGAGGAAGGAAGAGGAAGAGGGAGGGAGGAGAAATTAATAAGAGAGTAGTAGCAGGTACGGCGTGTGACGTCGTCGCGGGAACGGGGAGAAGAGAGGAACAGAGAAGAAAGCGCGCGCGGACGCGGAAATGAAAGCGAGAGGCCGAGCGAAAGGAGGTCACATGGTTTAGTGGAGCAGCAGCAGAAATTGAACGGGAACGATAGATCTTAGCCTGTTGGTTTGGCTAACCTTGTTTGTTGCGGTTGGGCTTATTCGTTGTTGATCGTGCTGCTTTGGCTAATTTGATGTAAGAGAAAAATACTATTTTGATTGGAAATTTACGATAATAAACCCAGCCGATCAGGCTGATTGGAGGCCGAACGAGCGATGCTTGCTGATGCAAGTCTGCGACGACTGTGACAACGACGTACGACCACGATTCACGATGGGTAGGGTGGTTTGGTAACGGATTCCAGCTCGATCCATCGAGTATATACACCGGCTTGGTTATTTATTTATTACATATACATACGATACGTCTGGTACTTGTCTTCGTGTTAGCTCGGATGATCAGTAGTACTATGTTTCTTTTCCATACCGAAATAGAAATAGAAAATTTAAATAAGCATGCATTGATGCATATAGATACCTGCTCCATCTCCATGGCGTGAGGCACCGAACTGCGCTGTCTAGTCTCGTTCGGCTTACCTTATATCCGGTTTGTTCGGTTTTTTTTTTAGCTGAAACAGTACTTTTCTCTCACAACATTTCAGCCAGAACCGTGTTTTTTAACCACTTTCAGCCAAGTTTTAACAAGCCGAGCAGAGCTAAGCCATCACAGACAAAGTATGAATTGGAGGCTCTGATTCCACAAGATTACGATGTAGTACCCCCCTCTCTCTGCAGCTTGCTTTCATATTAAGCTGGGTCACGAGCAACTTATGGCCGTTTTTTTTTTCTTTAATTTGGGGGGTGTAGAGCACACTCCGGTCAAAGAAACGCTCTTCCTCCCTGGCTGTGGCTGTGGCTGTTTTTCCTTTTCCCTTTACCTGGACGTACGTTACACAACCTGACAACCAAATGAAGCCACACCACACATTAAAAACACCACAATCGATATCTTGTCCCGTGGACTTTATTATGTACAGTATATTTCGTTGTTCTAGAATTGCAGAGGATCGACCATGCGGGTCCCATGCGCTCAGCAGGCAACAACACGTTTGACGTACGGGGACATCTTTATTCCAGATGGGCACACTTGTACCGTGGTACGGTACGGTGGTAGTACTACTTAGTATACTCTTACAGCTAAAGACTCGGTCTTGTTTAGTCGCTCCTCTTAAAATTTAGTCCCTATTATAGTATATATTTAGACATATACATAGAATATTAAATATAGATTAAAAAAATAATTAATTATACAAATTGCGATTACTTTACGAGATGATTTTTTAAGCATAATTAGTTCATGATTTGATAATGTGGTGTTACAGTTAAGCTACAGTAAACATACGCTAATGATACTATGCACCTCCCTACTGTAGCTCCTGGATTTAAACACCACCGTAGTTAAGCTTTCAGACGTATGTATACATCCTTGTAAGTCCTTGCTTTCGTTTTCCTCATCGGCTTGTCCTAATAATCTCTACCATTTCCTTATTAAAACCGGCACTACTGGTCTACTGCTAGGACGGAACGGAGATGGCAAAACGGCACTGCCAAGTCACAGATGCCGCGCGTCTCTTATTTTGACAAAACTTCACGGTATCAGCGTTACCTGGAGCTTAATTTCAGTCTACCTTTTGACTATGAAGCTCGATTACATATACCGCTCTATTTTTCGTCTCCATCCATCTGCACGGCATCTGCATCTATGACCCGTATGGGTTAAACTGAAAACCCCAATAATATAAACAAACAAAATGAGATAAAATAATGTTAGCGTGACGAGGTGACTTTACGTAACCCCTCTTAGGGCCTGTTTGGAATGCGGGATTTTTTTCTCTATTTCTGTGTTTTTCTTGTGAAATTGAACTGATTCCTGTGAAATTCCTATGTGATTCCTGTGAAATTCCTGCGTTCCAAACATGCCCTTAATGAAAAACATACAAGTCTACGTGTTCGTGGAAAAAAAAAGACTTGACTTTATGTAGTCTCCTGGAGCATGCACTACTACATGAATTTTAGCTGAGGCGGGCATTTTAGCTTAACCGAGGCGGGCAAGCCAACCGTCTCGGCACAAAGGTCACCGTTAATCGTGGCTTTAAATGAGACGGTTGACCAACCACCTCAGTTAATAGATTAACTGTGGCGGACATCATAAGATAACTGCCTACCGAGGCGGTTGTTGTAACGCGTCCGCCTCGCTTAAGATTTTAACCGAGGCGGTTGAATAAAGACGCCCGCCTCGGTTAAGATTTTAACCGAGACGGTTTTTATTATTTGACCACCTCGGTTAATGATTTTCAAATTTAAAAAAATGCTTTTTTAAATTAGAATTTAAATTAGAATTTAAAATTTCACTAATGAAAACATATATAAAGCAGAAAATAGATGACAAACATATATTACATTCATTTTCGTTCGACGAACCGACATGAAGTTGTTACATTAGTGATGTCTTCATCATTGTTTCACAAACACAAATCATTCGTACATCAGCAACTAAGGTCATTCATACATATCATTTTTTACCGAAAAAGAGGTCCGGCAAAATGTAATCCGAGATTCGTAACTTGGTGCTCCAAATTCTGATCCTATCGAACTTCGGATCCCGCGCTAACTCGTTTTCCCGGTTAAAGAACGTATTCCCTTCGTGCGCGCTCTCTGTGACAAACTTATATA